GATACCGATACCACCATTTTAGGGCAGTATCGGGGGCCCAGTCCGATACTGGTATCGGTATCGGTGCAACACTACTTATGAGGTGATAAAATTTGACCTTTTTTTTCTCCTAAATGTATAATTTTACTAACTTGTACACATTTAGCATAGAAGCTGTAATTAAGAGTGTTACTTACATGTTAAACTGTAGTTAACACTCTTTCTAACCCTAAAATTGAAATAACACTGGAAAAAATGATTGGTTCAAAACATATGTTAATGTTACCATAGCTACTATTTTAGCAATGCATTTGATGTTAGCACTTTAATACATTGAGATAAAAAAGCCTCTTGTTGCTGGGTGAAGGGATGAGTTAGAGTTTGAACTATTTCACTGGATCCAAGTCTTTGCTTTCTCAGAGGTGATGTGTTCTTTGTGCTCTCTGCCAAATGTTTTTTCACACTGCCCAAGCAGACAGACTGGGATAAATAGGAGAGTGAAATGATGGTTAAAATAAAAAAATCAGGGCACTCAACGTTTATTTAAATCAATAGGCTTCTGAGTAAAGCACATGGATTGTGCTGTATCCCCCCTCAGGGCTTCATTTTCATTATGTTGAACACATTTCAAACAGAAACTAGTTGCCTGTCAAAAAATCTAATAGCTGGGACAAATTTACCATCATAAATAAAGTTCTTCTGCACATGCTGACGGTAAGAAGCAGATTTAGGCCTGAGAGTTATCTTTAATTCCAACACTAGGGACTATCATTTGAATTCTGGTCACTAGTCTAAGAAAGATAAGTCTGGAAAAAGCATAATTTTCTTTTCTCATTCTCATCCAGGATTTGTTAAATACCCAAACCTTAGATCACATTTCCCCACATTTTTTTTCTGTACTGGGAAGAAACTCTGGTAATTAGACACTGGTGCAGTGCTGGATATTTTAAGGCTTAGAAAATGTTTTTAGGATTTAAATAATTATGCAAAGCATATTGTTTGTCAATAAAACAGGAAAATACTAGAACTTATGTTTCTCCCAGTTATATGTTATTGAAGAGGATAAGAGAACAGGGAAATTCTAACAGTTGTGATATTGATCAAGGCTAAGAAATACTGTTTATCATTGATGAGGCAATTCAGATAAGACAATATACACAAAGCATATCATAAACCAAAATAATTTGCTCTTCAAAACACTAGACTTTCAATAAATTTGTGGAATGGGTTCTCCTCAAAGCTCTTGAGAAATAGGCAGGTGGATGAAAAAAGCCACAAAGGGTAAAAAAAGATATTGGCACAAAACAGCTATAGTACTGTATGTGCTACTGTACTTTCATAATACTCTTTGTGTGCACAAATTTAAGGACATAAAATGTATGCTTTTCATGTTTGTGTGCAGACTATCAGGCCAAAGGAGGGTTGGCAGGTGTACAGCTCAGCTCAGGATGCAGATGGGCGCTGTATATGCACAGTGGTGGCACCTGAACAGAATCTTTGCTCCAGAGATGCCAAAGGCAGGCAGCTCCGCCAGCTCCTGGAAAAGGCATGAGCATACACACACAAACTTCCCCACATTCTGTACACGCACACACACCACCGCAGTGCATGCAAATTCCATTGACAATCCTCACCTTTCGTTGCTGTAATCCTCAGGTAGATTGTACCAGTCAGATTTACAATGCCTGATTCTATCTCTTCATCCACTGCATGGACAATATCAGTTAAAAAGATGGGAAGATGAATTTGCTCTCCATCCTAGCTATGCAGAGCTGAACTGTCCCAGTTGTGCATCCAATGGAGACTATTAAATTCCCTTCTTAAAGGAATACTTGAAGATCTCTGAAGTAATGTTCTGTTAAAAGAGAAAAGTGGTGAATATCTTACTTGAAGGAGCCAAGTAATCCTTATTAGTTGGTCCTTTTACCATCTTAGAACTCCCAAGAGTGTTTTAGTTAATGACGACACTTTAAAACCTTTGTCACATTTTCTTTAGGTCATTATTTATAAAGTCACTGGTAATTGTTTACACTGAAAATGGGGGAAGATAGCGCTTCACCAATAATGGATTTCCTGTGTGAAACAATGCTAAGAATGGAAGATTTAAAGCTTTTCTGGTAAAAAGGAAAGCAAAATAAAAAGCTAAATAATTATGGTGGTTACAACTATATAAAATGTAATGCTTTATTTATCAGGTACTTTCATCCATCATTCAGTCTGACTGTCCATCCATTCTCTTCTGCATATCTGTAAATGTGTTGCAGGACCAGTTTCTTTACTATTACTTACTATCACTATTACTCCTTTACCACATTACTATTATTTTGTAAGGGATACTGAGAGACATTCACACCTCAGACTAGGGCAAATATTGACCTCTTACAAGGAGAGAGAAAACCACCTTTTATTGTGTAAATCCAGTTCCCAAAGCTTTACATAATTTCTCTCTCTAACACAGTGCAGTTAGGCAAAAGCCTCCTAATCAGGCATTAATCCAAATCAGGTGTGCTGTAAAAAAAAAAAAAAAAACTAAAAAAAAAAAGAAAGAAAAATAAATTGGGCAGAAGTTATTTTATTGTTACTTTTGTACAATTTTGAGCTTAGGACTTCAGTTTAATGATTTACTGCTCAAAAAAATAAATAAAGGGAACACTCAAATAACACATCCCAGATCTAAATGAATTAAATATTCTCACTGAATGTGCACAAAGTTGAATGTGCTGAAAAAGAAAATCACACAAATTGATGGAAATCAAATTTATTAACCAATGGAGGCCTGGATTTTTGTGTCACACACAAAATAATACTGGAAAAACACATTACAGACTGAACCAACTTTGATGTGGTGTCTTTAGGACAGGTTCAATTGAGGTTCAGTATTATATGTGGCTGTATGAACTCCTTACAATGCCTGGGTATGCTGATTAGATGGTGGATGGTCTCCAGTGGAGTTGTTGCCCTTGTTTTATTAAGGGTTATTTTACACAACAGCTGACTGTTTTTCCAGATTAGGTAGAATTTCTGTCGGCATGTAGAGCGCATTTTCTCTTCAGTTTCTTAACATTATGCTTCAAAGTGCGCAGATCTTTATTAAACTTAGGAGCCAGCCTCCCATTATATAATAACAATTTTTATACATTGTCTAATGCATAGAAGAAGTAACCCCATCAACAAAATCATTCATTTGTGAAAGGGATTGCATTTACTGTAATTTTTGTCCTTTGTCGTATTGTCCGGTGATACAATGGTGATAAAATGTGGAGCAGATTCTTTAGAATTTTTTACTGAACCATCGGACATTGATCTGTTAGTAAAATCTTCTTTGGGGGAAGACAACTCTACAGGGATGTGAGAAAATACTGTTATTTTTTCAATTCAATACATTATGTCAGAACAATGTCCAACAAATAAAGATGTGCATAGTGGAATTAGGCACATTTGAACAAAGCCAATGAAAACTAAGATAGCTTTAAATGCTGTATTTAAGTTATCACCATCAATGTGGGCATACATGTTAAAATCCCTCACTATAATGACCTTGGCAGTATTTAAGACTCTTTGAGATAGGTAGTCTTAAAAACAGAAGACATTTTGTTGTTTCATAATTTGGATGGGGAAAACTGAATATTAAACAGACTTGTAGTTATCAACTGGCCTTGGACTAACCAATCAGTCAGACTGAAAGATTGCTATCACTGCTCAGAATTGCCCAGAATTGCTGGGCATATAAAAATTTGAACAGCTGGAGGGAGTTGCCTCATTTATTCTAATACGTGTTTCAGCCAGGTTTCTGAAGGACAACGTAGATTAATTTGATTATCATTGATCAAGTCATTAGCTAATAAACTTTTTGAAGAAAGCGATATTGTGTTAAATGGGCCCCGTTTAATTGTTTTAACTTAATTCTCACTTGGAGTCATTTCATCCTAAGAAGCCGCCTCTACTGCTCCAGAGGGTAGCCTAACTGGCCCACTCGTGCCAGTTATGGAGATCTCTCTTCCGGTTTTATCACACTGATTCCCTGCTGCTCCTGCCTAAGGTTAGGAAAGCCAGATCCCCTTACCTCTGTTGTCTAGATGATTTGTACCCCTGTTTTGGGCCCTCTGACCAAAACATCACGGACTGAGGGCAGGGGAAAGATGCAAAGAAAAAAAAACTACTCATCAAAAATACAACCACCGACTTTTGAAATTAGTCGTCTTCATAATAGTTGTTGGTTGTATACAAGCAAGAAAGTAAGTAGTTTTTTATATACCGGTATATATTTTGCACCTTTCTGAGACAAGCGTCACAAGGTGCTGTACAAGATGAGGCATAAAATAAAAAGCAGCACCATATAGTAAAATATGTATCGGCAAAACAAATACAATCATAGCATGAGGCATAAAGTACAAAACAGCAGTATAAAAAATACATGTAGACAAAATAAATACAATCATAGTAGCTCTTGACAAAATGAGTCTGGAATTTTTTGTTGTTTTTTAAATCATCAATGGTTGTAAGTCTAGTTTACATTGATTTTATTGTATATTATAGTATTATATTATTCTGTGTAGTATTGTGTATAGGTTTAACTTGCCACAGTTCCATTATAATGGCAATCTCCACAGATACTAGTTTGTCTGCTCTGCACTGCCGTAGCACAAAAGATGTCTGCCTCCGTGAATGTGAACAGTCTATGTTATTTATAAATATAAATAGCAATTTCTAACACAAGACTAACTATGACTTTCAGTTCATAGGTGATACAAAATGACAAGCACATAGATAACATATGACATGTATGTCAGTAAATCCCTGTAATTATTACACACTGTACTTTTACATTGATGCTATTAATTTAAAATTTTACTTCTGTCATTTTCTAAGTTTTTATCTGTACATTATTTAAATTATTAACAAACTAAATATGATCGTGTAACTTTAATATTAGGTTTTCCCTTGTAGTTTATGCTTTCCACATCTACCACCAAAATCAAAGCACTGTCATATTTTTTTTCTAAGTGACTCTTTATTCCAATATTGCCTAAATTTAAACACTGTAAGCCAATGCAAGCTCCCTTTTATTTGCTAGGGCTTCTAACGCTAATGCACTAAGCTGCCTCAGGGCTTCCGAAAGGCCTTTTCAGTGTCCCTGTATCCAAGTCAGGGTAGAACACAGTGTATGAAGGTTGTGCCGCATTGCCTCTGATGCGCTCGGCTAATGTTGGCTTTATTACAATTAGAGCCAAAGAGGGAGAAGAAAAGATGGCATACTTTATTGTCAATGTGCCCTACAAACCTAGAAAGCATTTTTTAAAACAGAAAAGGGCCCCTGTATGCCATTTCTTTTCTAAAATAAGCTCATTTAGCTGTAGTATTTTTTTTTCTCAATTCCTGAAAAAATCAGCAGAAAGGCAGCACAATAGAAGTAGAAAAAATGTTACTTTACAGGGTATAAAATTATTTGGTATAATTCTTCTTAAAAGATGTAAAATACAAATTAGATCAGATATTTACATAAATCAAATATATTCATATTCTGGAAACCTTTTGATGCTATCTGACAATTGACAGCTGACAGCTGATAATTTCCTTTTGTTAAATGCTACATTTACAGTAGTGTATTTAGTTCTATCAAAGTACTTTGAATGTAACTTTATGCTGATTTTAAAGACCCTCCTTGAGTGAAGTTATGAAGAAATTCACGTCAAATTACATCAAGTTTCACTCTGTGTCTTATGGATGAGGGTATTTGGGTGTAAAATGTGAAATTGAACCCTAAAATAACCATAAAAGGTGTTTATAATACTGGTAAAATGTAGTATAACAAAAATTATTTGTACTGGTATGGGTTTGACTGCATCTTAGAGAGTTGTTTTTTTTTTTTGCAAATGCATTAAGCGACAATGAAATAAAATTTTTGAGATATGTCCCATGGTCTGGTCAGTGGCGGTTCCTGGCGTGGGTGACATGGGAAGCCACCCACTGTGGCTTTATATATAGGGTGGTGCTAACATCAGATCCCCCTGCTGCATGCACGCCCTCATGCATGTGTAAATAATATGAATAATAATATGAATCAATAGCAGAGGCATGTTACAGATTAGTGCCCCCCACTATCACAATTGACCTCCATTTATTTCCCACTAATTCTATGGTCTAACCGTGACACCTGACCTAACCCTAACCATTACCAACACATACCTAACCCTAAACCTGACCTAAAATCAATTCAAACCTTAGTTCTAAACCTTACCCCCACCCCAAGAACAGAACTTCTCCTCATGGGGACCTGTCATTGGTCATCACAAGTACCTATAAGTCCCTAAAATGTAGCATATCCCTGGGAAATTTCCCCACATGTAACAAAGACATGACCACACACACACACACACACACAGACACACACACACACACACACACACATACACAATTGAGGAGAATAATAAAACAAATAGCAAAAAATATAATTCTGACAGCAAATATTAAAGTTTGGCTTCTTTTATTGTCAAATGAGGGAACTATCTAACTGGCGTTGTTCTGCTTTTTTACAGTGTTTGCAAATCTCATTTCACTTGTACATCTAAAAGTATATTCTGTTAGCTTATGTAAGGGAGTCATAGTGGTGGTTAAAGTGTTGATTTGTTTTAAAGAAAGTAAAGCCAAGAAAGTTTCTAAACACCTGAAGAAGAAGGACAATTTAATCTGATGGAGGACAAGAAAATCAATGCTGCACAATCTGATTCTTTTCAAAAGGTACAGAACATGTCACAGTCAATTGAGGTGCTGAATCTTCGGACTCAAAGAGACTTTCAGTACATCATGAGGATGGAGAGCCAGATCAAAGGGTTGCGGTCAAAGTTCCGGCAGATCGAGTCAGACAGGAAGACCGTCGCCAACAAAAACTTTCAGGTATGTTTTTTGTTTGATCTTAAACTGTGTGAGAAACATCTTAAAGCAATTTTGCTAAAAAAAAATCTGATATGCATGAGAGCACATTAAGTTGCATCCTTAAAAAGATCATAAAAGGTTCACCTCTGGCCAAACAAGAACGTGAGACACAGTTTGACTACAGCAATTAACCTGAAAATGTTTTGATTCGTTTGATCTATAAAAGGGCAAAGAATGTTTTGCAAAGCTGACCAAGGAGAGCAGATCCCTAGAGCTGGAAATTACTCACTAAATACCTTCTATCTATTAGGTCACCTTGCTGTTGCAACTTTTGTCCAAGTTCCTACCAGTTTATTTTACCATTACTACATGGTGCAACACTTTTTCATATGTTGAGTCTGGCCTTATAGGGGTCATGAGCAGTATTAAAAAAAAAAGTTTATATCCTGTTGCATTATTATTGTCACAAATTTCAATAATCTAGGTGCAGTTTTAGGTGACAGACCAACTCAAAATAAGCAGAATAGCGGAAGAATTTAAACTGAATTTATTTCTCATTACAACCTGTACTCTAATATCAGCCATTTACATGTAGAAGTTACCTCACAAACCAATAGCCAAAGAAGTATTCATGAGGCTAAAGCTAACTCTGGAGATGCAGTAGAGATTTAATGCTCAGGTACAGAAATAAAATCTGCCAAAAGGACAAAAGTAGCCTTTATGGAGGCTTGACAAGCATGCAAAGTCTCACAATGTATCAAATCCAAATTGCCGTTGCAATATTTGTGTGTGAAATACTGCAATGGGAAAGGATTACTTGAAGGTAACATGTGGTTGGCAAAAATTCTTCAAGGGTGATGCATTACAATTCTACGTTCTCATAATATTCTTATAAGGCCCACTAGTGGACCTCACTGTATGATATGCCCACAACTGATAAAGATGATAGCAACTGTGGTGCTAGGGTTTGATAAGAATAAAACTGACCTTTCTTGCCTGCTTGCTATTTCTGGAGGAAAATTGAGACTGCACATTACCTTTAACACACCATACCGATTTGATTGGAGTCGCATCATGCCAAGGCAAGGCTTTTTCTTAGCAGGAAAAGGGGCATTGTTCAACTGGATTATTTCTTGCCTTCAGGCTGAAAGATTACACTTAAAGTCATGTTTTAGTTATATTACCTATAGATGTTTTACCTATATAGTGCCAATTGAAATCACCCATCAACTCTTCAAACACAATTCATTCAAAATCATACGGACAGATTGGTTTAAAGTTTTCTATCCACAGAAAACTAGCTGATTTAATTCAATCATTGAGTTTGCAGGATTCGCTCCTGGATGATTATGTCACCACAGCAGACATTCGCCTGAATCGTGTCGTTAACTTTGCTACCATCTCTTACACTGAGCATTCATGCAGTGACAATGGAGAGGAAAAGCTGTCTTCTAACAGAAAGAAACCAACAGCAGAACCAGGCTCAGTGTCAGCAGCCTTTGCCAAGAGTCATTAGGGTTCCAAGAAGACAGAAGCAGACACACACAATTAATAAGTGGGTCTCACATCACAATTTTTGTTCTTATTGTGCTTTATGTTATGCTGTGCTTTAGATTTTAACAAAAGTGTGATGCAGTTTTTAGAAAGTATTTAAAGAACATTGTCTGGAGAAAAAAATATGAACTTATTGGTACAATAGCACAAGTTCACATAGTTTGCACACTATATAATGTCCGCTAAGAATATATATAATTATTGAGTTCCTTTTATCATATTCAGTATATAATACAACCTTTAATATAACCTTTATAAGATTTGTTGTTACATGAATATTGCCAGTGCACAATCAGAGATATGGATGGCTTTAGGATTTTTGTTTTCAAAGGTGGAAAACACACAGTGTCACCATGATAAGCTGCACAAGTACAGCAATAGCTTATGCTGGTGCGCGGTGGTGGACAGCAGGAGTAAGAGGAACATTCAGGTACAATTTGAGAGCACAAAACAAGCTCATCTTCTTGACATTCAGATTTGGATCACAGAAATCATCTAAATGAAATGACAGAACACACTTTTCAGAGTTTTACTTTGAATAGTTTGAAAACCTAATTTGTTCTTTCACTTCACAATAATGCACAACTTGTACTGTACTGGTTTATGAAACTCCAAAGTTTAGGGTTGTAAAAAAGGAAAATATGAAACGTTTTATTACTGCATCGTCCTATTCAAAATCAATCTGCAGTTATATGGTGTATAAATTTGAAACCAGCTCAGATTCAAGCGTTAGAAGGAACCAAATTGATAGCAGAAACGCATCTGTTAACATAACTATGACAACAACAGCAATATCATTTAGATTGATTCTACCTGAATTAACTCAAAGCAATTTAAAGCAGGTCCATCTTAATGGAATAGAACTATTAGCTGTAGGATGACCGTTAGTTTCCTTATATCTTGGTTCTATGTTAGATATATCATGTACTTGGAAATGAAAGTTTCTAAACATTTGCTTAATTTTCAATCGGATTTGACAAGAAATATGGTAAAATTTGCCTTTTATACAAAATAAAACAGATAAGCATAAAAAACACATTTAAAAAAAGGGTTAGGGTACAGTTCTAACGAAATTAATAAAGACTATTTAGTTCTTTGCTTTAATACAATTTCAGGAGCTGAAGGGGAAGATGGAATCCCTGCAGCCACTTATCCCCGTCCTGGAGCAGTACAAGACAGATGCCAAGCTAATCTCCCTGTTCAAAGAAGAGATCAGAAACCTGTCCAGTGTGTTAATGGGAATCCAGGAAGAAATGGGTGCCTATGACTATGAGGAGCTGCAGCAGAGAGTCCTGAACTTGGAAAACAGGCTCCACAGCTGTATGAACAAACTCAGTGAGTCTTTCAGATCAATGACAAAAACAAACAACATAACTGGCACATTTGCTGTTGGTGCAAGCAGATTGGCTTTCTAACCTGAAGGCCAATCTACAACCAGAGTCAAAAAGAGTTAAATTGATTGAGAAAAGCCTCGTTTGGAGTCACAGGGCATTTTCTTTACTGTCAAATTTTTTAAGCTTTTTTCATAGCATTTAAAATGACATGAAAATCCCAGCTTTATTCCAAGTGAAGAAAATAAAATGTTGCTTAAGAGTATAACTCTTTTTTTAGTTTTGCAGCTGATTCATAAGAATATGTGATTATATTTCTCCAGCCGCTCAGATTTAACTGAGCTTATGACATCAGTTCTGCCTCCAGAGCAGCCTTGTCCTTTGTTTAAAAGCTCGCAAAAGCAGATAAACAATTTTTCACCATTGATATTTTGGTTGGGACGAGGCATGTTTTAGTTTTGAGATAAATAACTAATTAGCGTATCTTAACAGAAAATGTGTTAAAGATTAAAAAATAACATTTTGCTAATTCGGGACTTAAGTGTGTGGTTGTTTGTTAAAAACCACTTAATTAGAATAAAAAAAAATAGGGTGGGATCTAAGCTTATGTACAAGTGTTGCCTTTGTGCATTTAGAAGGATTAGTATCTAGCCACATGGAATTCTGTACAACTCAGAGCATCTAATCTAGTAAGTCCTTAAAGGCAAATGTTTGCCTGGGTCCAGACAGACAGGGTGTACAGTAGTTACTACAGCACATTTTGTTTTACCTTGTCCTTGTATTTCTTTAGAAATGCAGGCTGCTGTGTTGGCAGTGCCCAGAAGATATCTAGGATTCACTATTTTATTGCTGCCAGCACTTTGAGTTGTGTTCCAGTCATAACAAGAAATCACAATTGATGAAAACTGTGTGATATGTTTTCAGCATGTGGCAAGCTGATGAAGATCACTGGGCCACAGACAGTAAAGACATCAGGGACCAGATTTGGTGCTTGGATGACTGATCCAGTAGCTTCTCCAAAAAACAACAGAGTAAGTTGATATGCATACTATGATCCTTTTGTTGTAGGTTTCTCTTTCTGTATTGGTTGTCATGTTGTCCATGTGGTTTACTTTGTGCTAGATGGTTTTCCCATACTCTGCTAACATTGCTGCTTTTATACTGAAAGGCGTTGCCACATACTAGGTTTACTCCTTTCTGTTGTCTATCACAGTTTATTCCTGTATTTAGTTTCCTATGTATTCCGTTTTATTCCCAATAGTGTATGTCCCTTTTCTATACCTGTATGCCTTTGTTTAGCTCATCTGTGTTAATTAGTCTTCCGTCCTCAGCCTCTATCCTTATCCTCTGGCTCAGCCGGTGCTTATTTCCTCTTACTAACAGAAAGGTTTTCACTGTCATATTTTTGACTTCCCTCAGTATAAAGTCAGTGTAAGCCACCGTTTCCTGCTGGATCCTAACTTTTCCATACCTGTTTCTTCTATGTTGCTTTTACTGTTGCTGTCCGTGTTCCATTAGTCATGGTTTTTGGTATGTGTATTTTTGTTTTACTACTGCATTTTTTTTTTTTTATAATTTGCTTTGGCTATATTTAAAGATCTTTTTTTTTGGTGTGTAATATGTTTCTGTGTAGTGAAAATGATATGTCTATAACCTAATTAGTAATATCTCCACTAAGGTTTCGTGATTAGTGTGTTGTTTTCTATGTGCTGTTTAGTAGGTTCTGTTTGGTTCACTCGTCATGGGAGAATATTGTTTTTATGCAATGCCATGCCGCTCTACAGAAAAGAAATCTATTATACTCACTGAACCATCTCCCTACTTGCCTGCTTTTGGTTCTATGTTCGCTCTATAGAACCTCCACCATGACATCATATGTTAAATTTCCTATGTTCTGAGGTTTTGGTTTTAATGTTTCTAAGTCTTTCAATTCATCATGCTGATGCCACATCACTATCTGGACTGTTGGATGCACAGGATATCAATTGTTGACATAAAGTCACATAGATAATACAAAAAAAGTATTTAGGTGTCAAGTTTAAAATCTGAAATCTCTTCAGAGGCACAGTAGTCCAACTCTTTCTAATTAGTTAAAATAATAATGTAGAATTATACTTTTAGTTTAAAGGTTCACAAGAAATTAAAGGTTCACATTGCTGCAAAAATAAAGTATGATATAAAAATGGCTTTATTAGGCAGAGACTAGCTGTGATGAGGAAAATAATATCCTTATGTGCCATTTTGTGGTGTGTGTCATTATGACGCCTCAAAAAAATCCTGATCCAAGCGGTGCTGGAAGGCAGGTTTATTACAGCAGGTTTATTCTGGATGTTCAGAAGACAGCAATGTACTGTAATTACTTTCAAGATCAAACCAAATATGCATTGTTTCCATGTTTCAACATTTGTTACCTTGATTTTTTTATTTGTGTCTTTACTTAACACACCCGCATGTTATGCATACCTCAACCTTGAGATGTAAAAAATGGGAGACTTTGCAGTTTTGTCCCAAGACAACAAATCAAATCACTAAGCCATACTTTTTCGGGGAGTAGTTAATTTTATTTACTTAAGTGCCCACCTGATTTCTCCTTGTCCCACATACCAGGTGTCATTTGAACAAGATAAGCAACTTCTTGCTACTGTGTTTACAGCGGCACTGTTTAGTTTAGGATTTTAAACTTATTAATACTGATATAAACTAATTTTACAGTGGCAAATAAAGGTCAAATATGCATGTTTACAAGGGAATAAACAATTTGTCAGGCCATACTGTATCTACAAAGACACCAGCAGTAGGTCATATATTACTTTAGACAGGGCTTCCTCAGTTATGACCTTGAGGGCTGATATTCTGCACCTTTAAATATGTTTCTGCTTAAAGACATCTGAGTCAAATAATTAGGTCAGTAGCAGGACTTTGAATAAATTAAATGCACACTGAGGAGATAATTCAGTGATTTGATTCAGGTGTGGAAGGTCAATTTCACTCAATTTATAACATAGTATCTGTAAACTCTTGAGATTAAAGGGCATTGGTGATCATTACATCAATGCTTTCCCTATTTTAGAAAGACATAGTGTTTTCCTGTCTCTTGCTTTTCTTCCTTTTTCAGGTTGTAACTTTTACATCAAAATGTTAGCTCTTTTCTAAAGTGATGGTTGTGGGCTTTGGGAAACCTCAATAGAGTTACCAAATTTTCCCAATGTGGATCTCTGCACCACCCCCACAGTTATCACTGGCATATTAGCTGCTTCTCTGAGTAAGGTTAATCTGGTTTAACCACTCAACAACAATCCACCTGACCTATCTGCTGTCTGTGTTGATCTTAATAATGCTTCTTTGTTCACTGATGTTCTCCAACAAACCTTTCTGAGGGATGTATACTTGAAGTAGAGGCAACAGAGGATAGAGTCAATCAGTGTGTAATTTAGCAGTTGGTGGATTTCTGAAGACAACTGGTTACACTACATAGGTATAGGCTTGAATCCAGTTGTAGGTATTTATGTTAGATTATCATAAAATAATAAAGGCAAATCACACCAAGGTTGTTGAAATGCAGCAAAGTACCTAATGGTATGTTCACATCAAACATGTTTTAAGTGTCAGGGCATCTGGTTTACATGCAAAGTCTAAGAGTAGTGTCCATGACTTAAGTGTCAGGAAAGGTGACTCATGCAGCATTCTGGTACCTGCACTTTTCACCACAAACCTATAAAACACTTTATATGAACATTCTGCCTCTATGGAGAGCAGCAGGAAATCCCAGACAACCTGGCTGGCTTTAGAGAGCTTTCAATGAGGATTCCAAACACTGTCTTTTGCTGGTATGTGGCGTCCTTCACTCTGAACAAGAACAGAATATTTAAGTAGGATCATTCTTTAATCCTAATAGAAATAGAAATGTCATGAGAGCTGTACAAAATGAAATTTC